TTGCCAAAAGTCACTGTTGATGGATATTCGGCAATATTTGAAACAGATCTGAAGTTCTTTAAATTTTCTTACTATATTAGTTTCTCATTCTGTATGAGAAATTAAACTTACCATTGATATAATTATTTCCAAAATAACAAATAACTTGAAACACAGTATTCAGGCAAAAGCAAGAATGCGGTCGGTACAAATTGTATCCATTAATTGTTACTATGTAGAAAGCAGATAATAGCTGGGGCATATGTGCCAATAATTATAACCTTTATTTTAATATCGTATATTTATTTAAGTTGTTCTAATTTCGTTTATTTCAGTTTTTTATATAACATGGAGAAGGAATTTTTTATTGCAGCCTTGACTAAAATTTAAGATAAAATCAAAAATAAGGGAAAAAGAAAATGTGACTAACACAATTTTAGAGCAGTGTTTTTAATTTTCAAAGATATATTGTCATAATTTTGGGCTTGTGCCCTAAGAAATAAGAATGCGAACGGTTCAATTTCTAATAGTTCGTTTTAGTCTAACAGCAATATAAATAAAAAAATTTGACATCACAGAGCTTTGAAATTTATTTTTCACATATATATCCATAGTAGTTTTATTTTAGAGTTTCATTAATGTAGAGTTACAGTTGATTATCTGAAAATTCACTCGTAAAGGAAAACTGAAGGCATTTTTCATTACTTATAATTGTATATACTTTATTTTAATAGTGTGAGGCATATTAAAATAAATGTTAAGAAATATAAAACAAAACATTGGTAGATAAATAATAATAATTAATACAAATTTTGAGACCTAAAACAACAAAAACGATGACTACTTCAAATTGCTATTGAATGAATGAATGAATGAACAAATTAACAAAAGCATAAAAAAATGAAAAATAAATAGCAATATCTTGGAAAATATAAACAAAACAGTTATAAGTGCTACTGCTAATTGCTTCATTTCTCTCTACAATTATTTATCTTTTACTAAATATTTTCATATTGTGTATTAAAGTATTTCAACAGAAATAAAAGTGTATTCAGCAGCAAACAAACCAAATTTTAACGAAAGAGAATTCAATATTGATTTTTAAAATTAAGTAAAAGAAAGCATGCATTTATTGTAGTCTATTATGGATACCTTAACTAAGCTATAGAAAAGTGCACTTGTAAACAAAAGATTGCAGTTTAAATTGAATTTAACGCCTTTATATACTTTTTTTAACAACCAAATCATTAATTTAAAAATTCATGTTAAAAATGCAATAAAAATTTTGAAGAAATTTTGTAAAAAATCATTCACAAAACAATGCTTTTTCTTTTATTGCAATTTATGTGGTTTACAACGCAATAAACTTTAACATTTCTTCTTTAATTAAATTAATAAATCTTAAAATCCACTAAAGCTGCAGTTTGCATACATAAAAAGTTGTATCTTTACTGTTTTTCGTTTTTTAATACGTAAAATGCACCTTTTAAGACATTTGACTTTATTTTTTGTAACATTTTTATATACAGTGAGTAGTTTTTAAAAAGTTAATTAATTACGAAATTTATATATATACTTTTTTTAAATGTTCAAAAGCAAATGATGTGTACAACGCTTTTTTAATTTTAAATTTAATTCATTTTCACGCATTATAAACTTAATTCCCACTTTATGAGCACACAGCATGAGTTCTCTTAAGACATTTTTACAGTACGCATGCGTAGATTATCTTCAGGCACGCCCTATGCTTAATTACAACTTTCCTCACATATTGAAAATTGTTTACAGTATCAATTTCATATCATCAAGATTAACTGTATCTTAACATTTTTTTTCGATCTTAAGCTGAGATACATTTCCAGCAGTAACTTCTTTATAACCCAGTTAACATGAAAGACGCTGTCAGGAAGTTAAAACAAGTCACGAATTTTGTTGTAAAAACAGAACAAAATAATCCAAAGCCGATTATTTGATTTAATGATATAAAATTATGCACATATATAAAGTAAATTACTTTGAGAGAATCATGACAAAAATTTCTTATTATATTTTTATTATGAAAGAGTTTATTTTGTTTGCCATTATATTATAATTGTAGCACAATGAAAAAGATGATGGTGATCAACATGGCAAATTCACATACATGATCATATCCTAATGTAAATGGGACTCAATGAGATGTGTTGTTATTAAACATGCCTCAAATTGGTGTGTTCTTATCTGAATATGAGATGCTTCGAATACAACACATTTTAGCTCGTATGCTGTAAATTTAATTAAGGAAACAAATATTTTGCTGCAATGATTTTGTATAAGTGTCATTTATAACTAATATATATTTCTATACAAACTTAATGGAAAATAACTTCTGGAGAGAATAAAAACTTTCTGGAATGTATTGCATAAGAACAAAAGAAAAAATTGTTATTATTTTTTCTTCGTTTTACCAAAAGCTTTGATAATAGTTGGAAGAAGCCGTTTAAGGGTCGACATACGTATGTTGTCGATTGTATAATGTCGATTCTATGTTGTCCCATGGTATGGCAATCGTTGTCCCATGATATAGCAATTGTTTCCCATTATATGGCAATTGCATGGGAGAACAAAAGAGGTTCAAATTAATAAGTACTTTTTTATAATTGTATATATTTCATATTATGACTGCTATTTCACTATTTGTTTCATTTGTTCATCTTTTTAAAGTATTTCGTACTTAAGCCTGGATTTTTGTATATAAGATCTCTACTTGCACAGAAATCGCTATTGTCTCCAATGTTGCACACACAATTTTACTAAGAAAAAATTAGTAAGGGACATAAACTCCACTTGAGTGATTCAGGAAGTAGCATAAATATTTAAGACTGTAAAACACAACAATTTACTAATAGCAGTAGTGATCAGTAGATAAGATGAGTTATCTGAAGATAGGAAAAAGATGGGAGAAATAACAAAACTTCAAAAGAACTCAAAGGAAGTTGATACTAATTTCCATTCAACTGTGGGCTGGCCATTATTTTGTGTTTTAAAATTCATAGCTGAATGAGACTTTTAAGTACTTCTTTTGCCAGTTTTGTAAGCCCAAAAGATGGGAATACTTAACGATATGCAGACATCTGTATGCAAGCTGGCCACTTTCCGATAAATGGATATCAAAAACTCTAATTGAGATGTCATGCAGAGACATTGGTCTTCTGGTAGGGTTGACTACAGGACACTGTAAACTAGGGAACAATGCTAGAAGATTAGGTCTTCGTTTCAATCAAATCTGTCGTAGCTGTGGGAAAGACGATGACAGCGCCTCTCATCTATTGTGTTTTTGCCCAGCTCATGCACAGCGGCGACTTAGTACTATAGGAGCCTCCTTCCTTGAGGACCTGGACTAGTTACAGGATTTGACTTTAAATAGCATTTTATGCTTCGCAAAAGGTTCTAGTTGGTTTTAAACCCTGAGGTTTCATCCTATATATACGGTATTACAATGGGCCAATAGGCCTAAGTGGATCCACTAGGGAGCACCGGTATAACCTAACCTAACCTTAAACTATTAATATAATGAATAATTCATTAATATAATTTTTCAATACACTTATAAAAATGTATTTCAATACATTTTTGTCTGATTAACTAAGACCGATTAAATATTGATAATGATCAGTAAAAACGCACATTTATCAAAATTCAAGTGTTCCGAACAGTTTTCCAGCTATTAACAAGAGAAAGGATTTTCTTTTTTTATTAACATACTGTCAATAGAAAATTAATTTAAACAACTTAATTTCACTCAAAATGACTTTGGGTTACAGTTTTCTTTATTATGCGATAAACAACTTTGGCAACATTTTTGTAGTTTTTCGTAGTTATTTTTATATGTACAAATATGTTTCTTTTTTAATATTAACGCCTAAAAGAATTTTCATTTTTCTACAACATAATTCAAATTTGATTTTTATCTTTTAACGCATTTAAATTATTTTATTATCAATTGAGGCGATTTGCGCAACGCGGTTGTCGTCTAGCAACTTCTCTATTGAAGTCAATTATTAATAGTTTTTTATTGCTTTCGCGCCAAATTAATATCAACTTTGCTGCGGTGTAATGGATTTTGCATTGCATGCAACATCGTTTTCGGGCGGCGTAACTCCGATATCAATGGAAGCAATTGCCACTTACTAAGTTAGGAGTTAACAATTCGCAAATCTTAAACACAATCATGTGAAAACACAAACTTGTATGATTAATGCCGCCTGCTGCGAAAACGCATTGATTTCGTGTATTTATTGAATTTTTCCTACTATAATTAATTAAAATGTTTAACCATAAACTAGTAAAAAATAACAACTTTTTAAGGCATGCAAATCATATTAATTTATTGCAAAGTTATATTGTCAAAATGACAATAAAATTAGAAAGATATTATTAATATTAAATGTCTTCATTACCACTTTTCTTTACCAACCAGGCCAAAAACTTTAACAAGTTTAATTGTTGATGTTAATGTTCGCTAATTTTGCATAAAACAAAGTTAGCTATAGTGAAACTGAAGCTGTTGAACATTCACTTTTAGTTTAAATATTATTAGTCCTCTCTATTTTTTCCAATCATGTACTTCTTTGATATCTTTTTCGAGATTATCTCACTTTGCTTTCTGTGGACATGTTCAAGCCATCGATTACTTTGTGAATTAAATTAGGTTCTGGATTTTGGTGTTATATTGAATTCGGTTATACTTTAATTTCTCCAATAATGAACTTAAAATTTCATTTTTAAAAAAGCATTAAAAAATACACAACAGTAAGCAAAACCGTCATGTGTAGTTGCGTGTTTATATAGAACTAGAAGACATAATTCTTTGAAAATAATAAAATTTACATTTTTAAATATATTACATTGGTTAACTGGAAAAACTTCTGAGCACAACATATTATTATAAAATATACATTTTACAATCTAATAATAATAATTTAAAATTATTATTATCTTATTTAAAATTCCACAGGATTAAATTCCTGGAACATATAGTTCTAAAAATATGCACGAACAATAAAATCAACAAATATTTCCAAAAGATGATAGGCGGTTACCGAAACATCTGTATGGTCAGACGAATTCTGGGCTTGGTTAAAAATTGAAAAATGTTTGAATTTGATAATTTCCTCACTATCACTTGCAAGTCATCCGACGGAGAGGGTTCCTAATATATTCGATGCGTCAAAGTCTAAAGAAGAAGAAAAAATGTTTAAAGAGGAAGAAGTACTAGAAAAGAATGTGTTCTCTCAGACGATTAAACAACCCAAAAATTCACTTGTATAAAACCTATTTTGATAAAATTTTTATTTTAATTAAAAATTGTTTTTCTTTAATTAGAAATTGTTTTAAAGTCAACTATTAATGAAAATGTCATAGTTTTTGATTTATTATTACTTTTTGTTTTACGAAATTGCATTTATACATCAATCACTTTTAAATACGGCAAACAGCTTCAACATTACGTTTTATAGTAAGGTCTACCTACAAAAAAGTTGAAAAAAAAAAAAAATTAGGTCAATTTCTTTAACTAATCAACATTAAATGAAAAAAAAAACTAATATGTTATATATAAAATGCATTAAACATCATCAAGAAATCGTATGTATCATTAGAAAACCTGAAGTTTATGGTGAAATGTTATCAAATTGACGTCATTTGTTAACACATGAAAACTAGATTAAATGCATTTAAGCCACTATATAAACCGCATAATTAAATGAAAAAAATATATTTTTCAATTCAAAAGTTTAGCGCTATTACTTCATATGATGAAATACTCTTATTTTCAAATAATATTATATACATTTCTGGTACAGTTTCAATTGTGGTGAATACTGGATCGCTATCGAATAGATGTGTAACATTATGGGTCATCTATTCGGTCAGCATGCCTAACCATATATATTAAACAGCACCATATTGGCACTTATTTATTACTAAAGAGCAAAAAGCTTTGGGTATATGAATTTATGGACGGATCATATCATATATGTGATTTAAAATGAATGTCTCTCAAGACCAGTCGATTTAAAATATTATGTCCAAATAGCCAGTTAAGACTGATACTAAGATTAATACTTGTATACCATATAGACTAAAAAAATTTTGTAGTTAGTCGTGTACCACTTTTGTTCAAATCATTTTGTCTACAGTTGTAAATAATGTCGCTATGAAATTGAACTGAGTTTAGATAAACCAAAAAATATACCTTATTCTCATTCAGAGTTGTACGACATTTCGATAAAATCTTATAGTTTTGTCAAACACCTGGGTTTCTAGATTTTTAATTTTAATTCGGACTAACCAATAAATTCTATATAAGAATACAATGTGAAGTTTTAAATGTGTAGAGATTGCTTCATGAAAATTTTATTCATTATTTAAATAATTTTATCAGTATCGCTAAAAAAAAATATTGCAACTAAATCTAAAGCATATTTATATAAATGAAAATATTTCTTACACAATATAAATAATTATATTGATGGAATAGAAAGAAGTTATAATTCATAAGTCAGCTTAAGATTAATGAATTTCTCACTAAGACAGGTTTATTTAATATGTGATTAGCATATTTAATTAATTAATGAAACCTGAAATAATAATTTAATATGACTTGTAAAGCAAAACTTAAGTACTATTTAATGCAAGTTAAGCTCCTATTAGCTCCCTAAAACAACAATGCAAATTTTATTGAAAAATCTTTTTAATACTGGAATATTAAAGAAAGTTGTGGCTATATTTTTTATCTCAATGTTAAAGTAGAAGTGTGTCAATATAGTAATAACTACTAATATATTATAGAAACTTAAGTATACTTTTTTTTTAGTTTAGCGATTAAAGAATGTTTAAAAATGAAATGTTGCCTTGTGGCGTAACAAACTGCAATTTTATGTAAATGTTTATGCGAATAATTCTTTGCAATTATGAGTTGCTGTTGCAGTTCGTTGCTTAAGCCACAGTAAATTACGCTTATTACACATAGTATACGTGGATGAATGTCTCTAACGCTTGATATATAACCACTAAGGTGTGATCAACATTTTACATTAACAAGATATTTACCAAATTTGATTTTAATAGTTACTATCAAAATGCTGCAATTAAAATTTTGACATTTGATGGATACTATTTGTTACTTAGTTTAAACATTGATGGTTTGGTCCACTTATCATTGTAATATAATTGTACAAATATATATTCAAAAATTTACTGAAAAAATATAAACAATTTTAGTAATGACAATAATCTATTTAATTTATACGCTGCTGGCTTTTAATTTTTACCATAAATGTTAAATGAATTCGTTTAATGATTTTTACAAGCCATAATTTATTTCTCATTAACCTGAAGTGCTGCCAACACCTCTACTTACGCATTTTTTTCTTTTGGTGTTTTTTTAAAATATCTATCCATATATTTCATAATGTGCTCTAATGAGCTACAAATATGGAATCAATTATTACACTGCTGTATAAATGGTGTAAATAAACTCATATAAACAATTTTTTTCTTAAATAATACGTAAAGTTCATTTAAAAAAAAAATATCAAAAAAAAAAAATAATTTACAAAAATTAAATTAAAAAATAAAAATTCGTTGTGTATCTATACTGCACCTGATTAATAAAATTATATTATTTGTTTTATATAAATGTTAATATTTATGAAAACAGAAACAAATGAAATCGATTGTAAGAAAATGCATAATAACATAAATTTGAGATTTTTATCAATATGCCAAAATTTTTCAGACTATAAAAGTGCTAACTATAACACATAATACAAATATCACCTGGATACTCAAAGCAAGAAGTAACATAGCACGATACAGATAAACGGAAACAGATTTGATGTATATAGATCTGCGCTCTGTAGTATGTGTAATTTAGATGCGACTGAAGATATTGTACATTTTCTTGGCCGTTGTCCTATTCTACAAGAGTTTCGATTAGCTTACTTTAGTAAAGCTATTCTATCTTATGAAAACATTATAAATATTTTAAACGGTTCTGAGGTAGAATGGGTAAAAGAAGCAGAATATTTAAAAAATTGTATAGCATATCGATCTTATTTAATATCAGAATATAATAATTAATATATATTTTATAGCTCATCTATTATTTATAACGAGTGTATACTAGTTTATTCTTATAATCACTACTATACAACTATTTATAATACTACTATTATACTATAAGTCTACGGACGACATGTGTCACATTCGTTATTTTAATTATATTTATTTATATATTTATTTAAGCTTCACTAATCATACTGTAAAAATGAAATTTAAAATAAAAATAAATATACATACATACATACAAGTGCTAACTATTGAATATTACAAGATTACTTCTAAATATATAATTTTTTTTTTAAGTTTTATTTAAAATATTATGCATTATGTTTTAATCGTAATAAATTAACAACATTTTTATACGTTTATCCAGAATACGTTCTACCTATATGTAGTTTTTCTTGAGTTCAAAGCTGATATATAAGGATAAAGTCTTAATTGTTTGAAAATATGTTTGTTTATATGTTATTTCCTTCTGTCTCTAAGCTTTCGAAATATGTTTGAGTTTATAAAACTATAAACTTTGCTGAGTATATATTGTTCATATGCGTTTTCAAAACGATACTGAGATTCTTACGAAAAATAAGATGATAATTCTGTGCACTCTGTGACGCTTAGTTTTTATACTATCTTTTCCCAGACAAAAATATCCAGAGTCCACGGTATTTATTCACGTTTCATAACTTAAAGGTCGTTTTTCACGTTTTCAAACTACATTTGTTTCCTCTTTTTTTCCAATAATGCATATCTTCGATATCTTTTTCGGGATTGTCTCACTTTACTTTCAAGTTAAATAGACATGTTCAAGCCGTCGAATACTTGGTGAATTAAATTAGGTTTTGGATTTTGGTGTTATATTGCATTCGGTTATATTTAAACTTCTCTAATAATGGACTTAGTTATATTTAGAAAAAATCATTCAAAGCATTAAAAAATACACGTAATCACGTATTTCAATAAGACTGGAAGTTATAGCAATTCCTAACATTTTTTGATTAGTTAAGAGTTTATAAATCAAATCAAAGTTAAAGTAAGTTTAAAATATAATATAATGGTATTATATGAAAATGCAGTAAGTATTATCAAGTTTGATTTCGACATGAGCTGAGACACTAAAGTCAATGCCTATATTATCAACATGGCTTGTGTTTTATGTTTTGATACTAATTGCCCAAATGAATTTTCTTTTAGGAAATAAGAGTTAATCAAACAATATTATAAAAAGGCAATGTTAATTTAAAAACTGAAAGAGATAACGTATCAATACTAGGCTACACATACCTTAGACGACTTTCTAAAAATTGAAGAAATTTGAATATAAAGCCTTTATTTATTTTCTGTATAGTCTAGAGTGCATTTGGATCATCAAACTTAACAAAAAACGGTATAACAACATTAAAGAAGAAAATAAAGTTTTTTGTTTTTAATTACATATACGTAAAAATAGTTTCTTTTATTTATAAATAATTATTAAAATATAAATAAAAAAATTTTAACGCGTATCTCATAAATATATAATTAAATTAACAGCGAGCAAAAATTAGTAAATTTTGACATTAATTTGTTAAATTGTGGTTCCATAATATCACTGAAATATTTTATGTATTATTTGTTTCTGGCTTGTCTGTTTTATATCTGTTGCATTAATACTCGTATTAGAGCTTCAAACTTGTATTCCATTGAGATTTGCTCATTTGTATTTTATTTGTTAACAAGTTTATTGACGCTAATAATTTTTAATTCATTGTTGCTGAAGTTAATTATCTATTGTGTGTTGAATATTGAATGAAAATATGGATAACGTATTGTATGTATAGAAGATTTATTTACTGCATATATAAATTTTCTATTAATTTATCGAATGCTTGAATAAGT